CACCAGCAAAGACTGTGATTACATTGCACAACGCTCCCCCCCCCAAAAAAAAAAAAACAGGACATGTACTTATCCTAAGAGCACTGGATGAGCAACATACTCATTTGGCAGGGTAGGAGGGGGGCAGGCTAGCACTAGGAAAACAGAGGACTAGATGGGTCAGACACCAAATATACAATGCAAACAAAATGCAATATCAAGATGGAAATAATAACAGACAAAATGTTATCCATGGTGAGATTTTAAATGGATAGTTACATATATTCATTGGTCAGAATCATAATTGCAACTCTGGAAAATGCTTGATTGATTCCAAGTACTGATGAATGATGCAAATGATGGAGGCAGCATAAAATGATACATGGATGTAGTGGATGTATCAGACATTACACGAAAAAAAATATGTAAGCTTTGTGTTGCATGGCTTTCAGAGTTTATCGTCTATACAAGTACTTAACTGGTCGAAAAATAAACATAATTTGAGTGAGTGTTAGTGTTTTGATTGGATGGTATGATGACAGACTAGAAATTGAGGTTTTATTAATCTGCACTATATTTACATGAAGCAAAATAATTTGTGAACCTCTATGTACCATTGGATCTGTATATCATCAGTCACTGAATTCAGATCATATGACTGTTTCAAATTGCCTTCCTGACAAAAAGACAAAAAAAAAAACCCAGAAACCTACACAACTTCTGTGGGGACATGCTTCCCAAACTGAGCCACTTCCAGTAAATGATAGTGTTTTTAATAAACTAGCTTGGAGAAAAACAATGGTTGTTCAAATTCCACATGAAGACAATTTAAAAAGTGTTTACACCCACTGCTGTGAGATGTGGTTATGAAGATCCTACCCATCATTTTAGAGCCCCACCAAATCTTGTAGCAACATCAACTTTGTCAACCACTTCCCTGGGAATAATTGCACAGCTTCCAGCACAACCTACTCACAAGCACAAGCAGCTGCAGAAAGTATTGGCATTACCAGCAAACAATTCCTGAAGAAGAAAAAAAAGCGTTATATTCTATCATAAGGAAATGTTTGAGAAACATTATAAATGTCATACTTCTATTTTATATTCTACTCTCAATTTGTTTAATCACAGTAGTTAACTCTTAAAGGGACACTATAGTCACCAGAACTACTACAGCTTAATTAGGTGTTCTGGTGCCTACAGCATGTCCCTTCAGACTTTTTAATGTAAACACTGCCTTTTAAGAGAAAAGGCAGTGTTTACATTACTGCCTAGTAACACCTCTAGTGGCAGTCACTCAGATGGTCACTAGAGGTGCTTCCAGGGTCAGTGCTGCACACTTGTTCATAGTCTCACACTTCTCACAGAGATGCATTGGTTCAATGCATCTATAAGGGAAAATTTTGATTGGTGCAGCGTTTTGCCTCGCATGCTCTATAGCCTCCCAATGCTTTTCTCTGGAAAAGTATTTTATTGACTGATATCTTTAAATTTGATAATCTCAGCCAAGCAGGTGGAGCAGGGCAGAGACAGCCATGACAAGACCAGGGCGGTGCTGGAAAAAAACGTGAGTAAAATAACTATTTAACCAGAGGCAAGTGGGGGCAGAGACCTACAATGTGTTTTACAACTGTAATGTCAGGAATATATTTGTATTCCTTACACTATAGTGTTCCTTTAACCGTTGGGGTTATAAGGTGCAATCTGGCAGCATATTGAAACATAATCCAATTTAATTAGAAGGATAGGAGAGTGCAAAATTGATTAAATAAGTGTACTAAAGCACTATATAACAAATGGTTAAAAGCTGCCCAATACTATGAAAACTTTCCCAAGTTTTAAATGTGATGTTGACAAAACTCAATCTACGCTTTTCACCCGTTTGATCGAGCTTTCTCAAGATTCTCTAACGCGCGAAACGCGTAGATTGAGTTTGGCGGGAATTCGTATTTTGAATTTTGGGAGCGATCACAGCGGCACCTGCAAGTCGGTGTTCCTCCAAGGGCATCGGTTCCAATGCACAGGATCGGTCTGCATGAGTACATCAACGGAGCGGTAACCATAATACATTCTGACTAGTGCACTGTATTGCACCAATGTTTATGTAATGGAACTTAGAGATAAGTTCCACCACTAAATTCTATAAGAGTTCTACTTAGGGGGGTTTCTTTGTATAGGGAATACAATATTGTAACTGAATTACACTATGTCAGTATAGATTTCAATTTAAGATTGGTTACAATGTTGCATTGGACAAGATTTACTCCAATTTCAGAACATACAGACTGTCGTGCAACCATTACAATTCCCTAAATCGCTTGGATATATCCTTCTATATATAGACATTGGAACACAAACATTTAGATTTAATCAAAATATTGTTATATTGTTAGTTTTTTCCCCTATTTTGGGGTAATAAGGAAATATCTGCTAAGCGCTGATACTGATTTTATTTATTTTTGTCTACAATCCAATTTAATATTCCATATTTTTTATGCTATTATATTACTCCAGTAACCAAGATAAAAATAACGAGGTATTGTACTACTTTATAATACCTTTTTTTTTGTTCATCTAACAGAATTTGGATATGACAAGCTTTCAGGAGTTGCTCCTTTTTTTCCAATGCAAAGATTTTTTTTAATGCTTCATACTTGAAGGTTTACTTTAAGTACCATAAACACTTAATTGATCTGAAGTGATTATGGTTCCTGGAGTCTGTATATGCAGCATTTCATTATGAATTGTTGCACATATGGAGATGAACACCTCTGCTGCCAGAGATGTAACTCCACCTCCGCCAGTGTCACTGAAGCCCCATCAGCCAGCCCTGAATTCTGTGCATAATTCTATGCACATAATTGGAGTCATTAACTGAGAGTAGCCAGCTGATGTTCTCAGCCAATGAATGCCCATTAAATGGTGTTAGGATACTCAGCACCATAACCATTACAGTGGTTTTGGTTGGAAGTTTAAACTAGTTTGTTCAAACTCTTGCAAAAATCAAATCATTGCTACATTAGCTTAATGGATTTGTTGCCACTCACTGTTAGTATGGTTAAAAATTAGTACATCTATGGCAATGTTGTTAAGAGGTGTAAATATATAATGAGCTCAATTTAATAAATATCCAAATAATTCAGGACTGTACTGTCAGAAATCTTTCTAAATGATTTATGTACAGATGTCCTCATTAAAGTCTATGGGAATTTTTGTAGATTAATCGTTTGAAAAGTTTTCGAACAATGTCGAATCATTTGGAAAGCTTACTAAATTGAGGCCAATGTTGAGCATATTCATATTTTACAGCATAGACCCTGCAAGCTATGGCAAAAAAAAGCTGGTTTAAATTCTCTTTGAACTTCCTGTCACTGTTGACATGTTACTTTATTTCACAGTCTTTCAGAGTCCAACAATTTCACTGCATGCAGAATGGGTCAATCAATTCTGAAACATGTCTTTGTGAGAAAGAAAGCTGTAGGCCTTTGAGTGAATTCTTATACAAGTGCCCTGCTCTCAATGAAGGAACTGTCTTATTACAGAGGTTACAAGATTAAGCAAAAAAAATCATTTCATAATCAAAGACACTGAACTGATAGTTCTTCATTTCTTAATCAGTTCTTTTAGCACTTTAGCAGATTAAAATCTAGTTACTGTGACTAAACATAGTTACTGTGACTAAACATGAGTATTTAGTAAACAGTAGCAAAAACAAAACAATATTGTGTGTATGTAGGTGTTGGCAGAATAAATTAAATAGATGAGAACAGCAAAATAAGTTTAAATTAAAGGGACACTCCATTTACCAAAACAACTTCATCAAAATGAAGTTGATATGGTGCCAGGAGGCCCCTAAAGGCACTCTTACCTCAAGGCTTTAATCCGTTCTCAAACAGTTTAACCTTAAAGTTGCCTCCGGTGGCAATGCCCACCCCCCACCCCCCCCCACCCCCGGCAGCATACGGTTCACTAAACTGGTTTGAGAAAGGTACGTTTGTTTCCAAGCCAATTTTATTATTAGGGAGTCACTGACTGGTCAGCTGACGCTCTCAGCCAATCAGCGGCGCCCCTGCTTGGATATCGCTGCTGGAAACAACTTTGGGGTTACATCATTCAAGAGAGGTTTAACCCCTTGAGGTAAGAGGGCCCCCAGGCACCATAACTCCATTTAGAGGAAGTTGTTTTGGTGCCTGGAGTGTACATTCAAGTCCAATGCTAGATATTAAACATATAAGGCAGTTAGGGGAATATTGATCCATCTTTAATTTTCCTTTGTACCTGATTAAATGATTACTGATTTATATCGAACCATTTAATAAAAATTTAAAAAAATAACATAAATAAAATAAACTGATCAGGCAACCTGTAGTTCCCATTACAACACATCCCATTAGTCCCAGTAAGTCACCATAAAGTATGTAAACACAACATTAGATGTTCTTGTGCTATGCAGACTGTGCCAAGGGCATTCAGGCCTCGGTGGTGCTTAATCACAGAACTCTCAGTGAGGCTGCCTAATGCGGTAGCTGGACAGCCTGGCCTGAATTCATGCCAGGCGGACAAGACCTTTTTTTGGATGGGTCCTCTCTCTTTTTGGGTGAGCCCATTGTTTTGAATGTCACCATAAATGCAAGCTGACAGACCCCTTCTCCCCCTTTCGGGATGAACCCCCATTCTGATACCATATCACCCAAAGTATATTTTGTTTTTGCTTGTGCACATTTTTTCTCATCAAATCTTTAGGTTTTTCAATAAATCTAATAAAAAAATAAAAAAGATTTGGTCTCTTCCCTTACCTGTCAATAAATTCCTTGGAATACAGGGCTGTGCCGAAGTCACAGTACGTATACCGAGAACTGAGTGACAGGAGAGAACAGCTGGTTCTACTGCAATCTATGAGAGCAACAACAGTGTATATCTTGTTAATTCTGTGAATATTTCCCTGGTGGGCATATATGAAATTTTGGTAGAAAAATATAGGGGGGAAAAAAAGGCACTGTAGCGCTGGCAATAAAGTCATCATGCTGGTGTTCAGAAAAAGGTTTGCCCTGATTGGCAAAGTGTTCCCAAACAATGCCAATTTTGTGAGTGTAGGGCTGGATGAATGTTGCAGCTGGAGGCTGGTGTTACATTTGTATAACACTCACCGACCTGCTGAGATGGTAGCACATTCTAGAACTGATAAGTAGGTAGTTAAAATCTCCATACCAAATTAATATTTTTTATCATCCCAATAAATAATGTAATCAGTGCAGGAGGAGAGGTTACTGCTTTAATTTGTTCTTCTTAAATTAAATAAAAGATACAAACCTCACCTTGTAAACCTCACTTGCAGCAATGGTTTTTAGAACAGTGATTGCTCTTTATTAGCTTATCATGCTTAAATAGAGTCAGAGGTTATTAATAACTGGTTTAGTTAAATTTGATCTAAACCAGGGTTTGGCAACATGAAACAGAGGATAAACAATACCTCTGATGAAGCTTAAGCACTTAATAACAGGCATATGGATTAGCATTATGGGAGCTGTAGTTCAAAAACAGTCTTTGGGTTTTATATGTTCAACTGTCTTGAATCTGAAAACAAAGAAAATATATATTTTTTTTATGTCAAAAGAGTCTACACAAGACATTACATCAGGGCTGTGTTTCACTGAAAAGTAGAATATTTGGTGATGGTTTGACATTACTTAAAGGACCACTATAGTACCAGGAAAACATACTCATTTTCCTGGCACTATAGTGCCCTGAGGGTGCCCCCTCCCTCAGGGTCCCCCTCCCGCTGGGCTCTGGGGAGAGGAAGGGGTTAAACACTTACCTTTCTCCAGCGGGGAGCTTTTCTCCTTCTCTCCTTCTTCCTAGTGACGTCAACGGCTGAATGTGCATGCGCGGCAGGAGCCCCGCACGCATTCAGCCAGTCTCATAGGAAAGCATTCATAATGCTTTCCTATGGACGCTGGCGTCTTCTCACTGTGATTTTCACAGTGAGAAGCACGAAGCGCCTCTAGCGGCTGTCAATGAGACAGCCACTAGAGGCTTTAGAGACAAGATTAACGCAGTGTAAACATAGAAGCTTCTCTGAAACTGCTATGTTTATAAAAAAAAGGGTTAATCCTATCTGGACCTGGCAACCAGACCACTTCATTAAGCTGAAGTGGTCTGGGTGCCTATAGTGGTACTTTAATTCAACGATTTGCTAAGGATCCAGTTTTCCTTGGTAATGATCATAAAATGATCTGAATGATGCTTATGATCACAGAGAAGCAATTCAAGGTAATAAACACAGGAACAAATGATGTCACCTGTTTCTGTATTAAAAAAAAAAAAGTGCTCTGCATTACTTGGTAAAACTTTGGAACAACTAATGACACACATGTATAATCCATAAGACAATGAAAATAGCTTATATAAGGCAATAAAATAGCTTTTAACCCACAAATGCTTTAAGATAACACACTCTTTAAATTCCCAATTGTCCAATGCTATTTTTATGTAAAATACTACTTTTTAAATCTTAATTTCCCAATGTTGTTTTTACTTAAATTACCAAAGTCTTATGGCTTAATTTGGTTAAGTCTAGTAATTGACACTGCAAAAGAAACCATTCATTTGGGCGGTGAAGAGTTACAGAACATTAAAAGCTTATATATGAATTTAGGGCTTACATCCATTTTCTTATGGTAATGTTAACTTTAGCTGTACAGAGCCATTTTTTTCTGTGTAACATAGACAGTGTCCACCTTCTCTAGAACATCGTACCAAACCTGCTATAGGGACAATTCAATATTCTGCCTGCCATAGGAGATCATTTATTAAAGGAGATGCTACTTATGTGGACCATATTTGAGACTGTACTTTAGCCATTCGTTGCCCAGAGTAACATAACACATTTGTTAAACTTCAGGAATTATTCAATAAACACCAAACTGTAGTGAACTGAAAAGGAAATTGCACACTTTAAGAAATAACAGCTGCTATGGATATCCTCTAACTCACCTATACTCACAGCTTGTTTATTCTGGCCTAAATGTTACACTTTGTTTTTCAATTTACTCCAATACAGCAATTTGGTGTTCACAGAATAAACCCATCTTGCTAAATAAAACAGTCAGATCTGAATTATTTCCACCAAATTTAGTTAAGATGTCCTTTAAATGCTTTTCATACCATGACCACGACTCAAGAATGTCAAGGATGAATGTACGTACCATACAATTAAATTGTGCTATATTTAAATATAAAACTAAATTATTATTTTTTTTTTCAATTAACAGTTATAATTAGTTATAAAAAATAAATTATGCTCCTGAGAATTATTGCACATCTGCACAGAGCTATAGGCATGTAATGTGGCCAATACCTCACCCAGATAATGACACATAGACCCAGTATCTAGGTTACAGTGCTCACCATTCGTTTTTAACCTAAAATTGATGTGCATATGCTATGACACACACAACTTTTATTAAAAGAGAAGTGTAAACATCATGTACATATTGTCCCCTCTCTCCTTCCTCGTTGATGGTCTACAACATCCAAAGTTCATTAAATGCAGTAGATGGGAAGAGAATCATGGGAGTTTTAACTGGGCAATATCTGGGGGCAGAGTTTAACCCTTTAAGGACACATGACATGTGTGACATGTCCTGATTCCCTTTTATTCCAGAAGTTTGGTCCTTAAGGGGTTAGGATGCCCTCTTTGGTCTACTGGCTTTGCAGTAAGTCCATGGAGCTTATTCACTGAACTCTTAATTGCAACAATAGAACTCCACATGGCGGTACTTAGGCAAAAATAACATTTCTGCAAATCATCTATAGCACCGGTTGGCTAAGTTCTTCCTATATTTTGCCACTCAGATTGCAATTCACTATAATTCAGAGGTCAGTAAATAAACATTCATGAGTTCTGGTCAGGAACTAAAAGAATTGGTTTCCAATTCAGGTCTTTTTGCTTATAGTTTCAATTCCTAGGTAAGTGAATCATTTATAATGTAATGTAAATAATAAAAATAGGACGGTTTCCATTTAAAGCTTGGGGGAAATGTGACTCATACATTAGTAATTATGGGATGCTGCTGCAGAGTTATTCACTGAAATGAGAATTCAAAGTGAACTTTAAATTTAAGTTCAAAATAGACCTTATAATTTGGTTAACCTACCAATAAAGGTATTTATAAATCTGTTGGGAATTAAGCGCATTGCAAAGTAAACAGATTTTTTTTACCTACTATGTCATATCTGCACTTTACTTTAGATTACAAATGTTTAAAAAAAATAAATCATATACAAATAGTTAACATTTTATAATTTGGACACATACTTTTCTATTATGCAACAGGACGTAAAAACACAGAGGTTTATTTACTAAACAGTGGATTGCAGTGAAGCAAAAACTGATTTTGCACATTTGAGGGCAAAACAGGTATTTAGAAAAGAAACAAAAAATGGTCCAACTCAGTGCTAAATCACAGCTTGGCCATTTATAGGGATACCATGTCCATCATGTTTTCTGGAATACATCATTTATACAAATTGATTAGGCAGCATACAGAAAGTGCTGCCCTGCAGTGTGTAGAAGTCACATGCTGCAGTTAGTAAATCAGGCGATAAATCAGTCAGTAATCCTGCAATAGCCATAATACAGGGCAGCATTTCCATGTGCTGAAAGTCATAATGATTTAATTATGTGTCCAGGAGAACATGCTGGATATGGCAACCCTATTATTATTTAGGTTTTTTTATTCACTGTATTTCATTGTTTGTTCTTTAGTGGATACATTGTTTCATTTTTTAAAATTTTTTTTTAAAACAATAAATTGGAAAAACTGGAAACAAACTGCAACATTTTACATCAGCCCAGCTGTAAATAAATAAATACTATCCTGATTTACAATAATAATATATAATGTGCCCAGCTTGTTCCTGAGAGGTTTCCTGAGGTTTTTCCTGGAGTTAGTAGATGATGGGAGACTCCCCTCTGGCTGTTACAGTCACTCTGTGCTGCAGTAACCCCAGCATCCCAACCCCAACCTGCTCTTCCGGTTTGCCCACCTGCGGCCACCAGGTAAGGGCGTGTGCCAGGGGAGGCAGCGCGCATGCGCACACACTCCTCCTGGGCTACGTTGCAGGATTGTCTCACCTGAGTCCAGCAAAGCGGAAGTGGGAGCCGCCGCGGCCAGCAGCAGCCGATCTATCCCCAGCAGCATCTTCTCCATCATCATCATCATCACCCCGGTAACAGGAGCCCCCGTCCTCCTCCTCCTCTACCTGCCGGACCGAGGACACAGAGCGGGGACAGGCAGCCAGTGGCGGGGAGCGGCTAAACGGAGTGTGAGTGCTCCATCACTGTGAGTAACTTCCCAAACCAAGTGTGAGTGCTCCATCACTGTGAGTAACTTCCCAAACCAAGTGTGAGTGCTCCATCACTGTGAGTAACTTCCCAAACCAAGTGTGAGTGCTCCATCACTGTGAGTAACTTCCCAAACCAAGAGTGAGTGCTCCATCACTGTAACTTCCCAAACCAAGAGTGAGTGCTCCATCACTGTAAGTAACTTCCCAAACCAAGTGTGAGTGCTCCATCACTGTAAGTAACTTCCCAAACCAAGAGTGAGTGCTCCATCACTGTGAGTAACTTCCCAAACCAAGAGTGAGTGCTCCATCACTGTACCTTCCCAAACCAAGAGTGAGTGCTCCATCACTGTAAGTAACTTCCCAAACCAAGTGTGAGTGCTCCATCACTGTAAGTAACTTCCCAAACCAAGTGTGAGTGCTCCATCACTGTACCTTCCCAAACCAAGAGTGAGTGCTCTATCACTGTAAGTAACTTCCCAAACCAAGTGTGAGTGCTCCATCACTGTAAGTAACTTCCCAAACCAAGAGTGAGTGCTCCATCACTGTGAGTAACTTCCCAAACCAAGAGTGAGTGCTCTATCACTGTACCTTCCCAAACCAAGAGTGAGTGCTCCATCACTGTAACTTCCCAAACCAAGAGTGAGTGCTCCATCACTGTGAGTAACTTCCCAAACCTAGTGTTAGTGCTCCATCACTGTGAGTAACTTCCCAAACCAAGTGTGAGTGCACCATCACTGCGAGTAACTTCCCAAACCAAGTGTGAGTGCTCCATCACTGTACCTTCCCAAACCAAGAGTGAGTGCTCCATCACTGTAAGTAACTTCCCAAACCAAGTGTGAGTGCTCCATCACTGTACCTTCCCAAACCAAGAGTGAGTGCTCCATCACTGTGAGTAACTTCCCAAACCAAGTGTGAGTGCTCCATCACTGTGAGTAACTTCCCAAACCAAGTGTGAGTGCTCCATCACTGTGAGTAACTTCCCAAACCAAGTGTGAGTGCTCCATCACTGTGAGTAACTTCCCAAACCAAGTGTGAGTGCTCCATCACTGTGAGTAACTTCCCAAACCAAGTGTGAGTGCTCCATCACTGTGAGTAACTTCCCAAACCAAGTGTGAGTGCTCCATCACTGTGAGTAACTTCCCAAACCAAGTGTGAGTGCTCCATCACTGTGAGTAACTTCCCAAACCAAGTGTGAGTGCTCCATCACTGTGAGTAACTTCCCAAACCAAGTGTGAGTGCTCCATTACTGTAACTTCCCAAACCAAGTGTGAGTGCTCCATCACTGTAACTTCCCAAACCAAGTGTGAGTGCTCCATCACTGTAACTTCCCAAACCAAGTGTGAGTGCTCCATCACTGTAAGTAACTTCCCAAACCAAGTGTGAGTGCTCCATCACTGTAAGTAACTTCCCAAACCAAGTGTGAGTGCTCCATCACTGTAACTTCCCAAACCAAGTGTGAGTGCTCCATCACTGTAACTTCCCAAACCAAGAGTGAGTGCTCCATCACTGTGAGTAACTTCCCAAACCAAGTGTGAGTGCACCATCACTGTGAGTAACTTCCCAAACCAAGTGTGAGTGCTCCATCACTGTGAGTAACTTCCCAAACCAAGTGTGAGTGCTCCATCACTGTGAGTAACTTCCCAAACCAAGTGTGAGTGCTCCATCACTGTGAGTAACTTCCCAAACCAAGTGTGAGTGCTCCATCACTGTGAGTAACTTCCCAAACCAAGTGTGAGTGCTCCATCACTGTGAGTAACTTACCAAACCAAGTGTGAGTGCTCCATCACTGTGAGTAACTTCCCAAAACCAAGCGTGTGAGTGCTCCATCACTGAGTAACTTCCCAAACTAAGTGTGAGTTACCCATTACTGTAACTTCCCAAACTAAGTGTGAGTGTTCCATCACCGTGTAACTTCCCAAACCAAGTGTGAGTGCTCCATCACTGTAACTTCCCAAACTGTATGTGAGTGCTCCATCACTGTAAGTAACTTCCCAAACCAAGTGTGTGAGTGCCCATCACTGTAAGTAACTTCCAAACCAAGTGAGTGCTCCATCACTGTAACTTCCCAAACCAAGTGTGTGAGTGCTCCATCACTGTAACTTCCCTAAAACCAAGTGTGAGTGCTCCATCACTGTGAGTAACTTCCCAAACCAAGTGTGAGTGCTCCATCACTGTGAGTAACTTCCCAAACCAAGTGTGAGTGCACCATCACTGTGAGTAACTTCCCAAACCAAGTGTGAGTGCGCCATCACTGTGAGTAACTTCCCAAACCAAGTGTGAGTGCTCCATCACTGTGAGTAACTTCCCAAACCAAGTGTGAGTGCTCCATCACTGTGAGTAACTTCCCAAACCAAGTGTGAGTGCTCCATCACTGTGAGTAACTTCCCAAACCAAGTGTGAGTGCTCCATCACTGTGAGTAACTTCCCAAACCAAGTGTGAGTGCTCCATCACTGTGAGTAACTTCCCAAACCAAGTGTGAGTGCTCCATCACTGTGAGTAACTTCCCAAACCAAGTGTGAGTGCTCCATCACTGTGAGTAACTTCCCAAACCAAGTGTGAGTGCGCCATCACTGTGAGTAACTTCCTAAACATAGTGTGAGTGCTCCTTCTCCACCACTGTGAGTGAGTACAACTTCCCAAACTTCAGGCAACTTCGGGGCCTTGGGGAGTCTGTCCTCCTCTCTGCCATGGTGTCTGCTCCTCACTGACTGCTCTCCCTGGTTCAGGATGGTGGAGTAATATATTATAATATCTACTTATTACTGACTGTCCCCCCTGATACAGGATGGTGGAGTTACATCTTATTATATCTACTTATTACTGACTGTTAACAGGTTTAGGTCATCTGTTTTTAAAAGTACATATTTAATTTTGAAAATCAATTGGTTATGGTGTGAAATCATTTAACAAGTAGGAACGTAGGGAGAGTTTTGCTGTTGAAGAATTCAGGCATTGTTACATCTGCTTTGGAGTGCGCTACTGATGACTGTACAATGGGAAGAAAATCATTCGTGTCTGTAAAAAATGCTGCATAGAAAGCTTTTCTGACATGACACATATCTTAAGTTGCTAATCTTAACAGGATAGGGTAATGTGGTTTTGCACACTCCATTTCTGGCTAAAGAAAATAGCTATATGTGCTAAAGGACACTGAATGAGAAATATTTCTCTTTGTACTGAGTGCTAGAATTTCATGTTTATTTTTTTAATTCGGTAAACTGGTCGGTTTTATTTAAAAGCAAGGATTTTTTGAGTACGTTTTGAGGGGGGAAATGTTTTTTTTTTTTTTGCCAATCTGATTGTGCCTGTACAACAAAAAGCACATTCCTGTGAAAATATGAGATTTTTTTTTTGCCAAATGCACTTTAATTTTAAATTTTTTTTGCAATATACTATTAAACTCTATAAACTTGTATCACTGAAATCTATAAATGTACAGTTCTATCACATGAACATATTGCTTTTTATTGTAAAATGGACAACACAAACTGATAATTCTGTAAGGAATTAAAAAGGAGTCCTTGATCAAACTACCTCTACAAATTATATATATATATATATATATATAAACTCCACCATCCTGCATCAGGGGGGACAGTCTGTAATAAGCAGATATTAATATAATAAGATATAATTTATACGTATAGCAGTGGTTCTCCAAACCCAAATGGTTCATGAATTAGAAATTGTGTGCTGCCAATCCAATGGGAGTATTGACACACTTTGACCTCTATGGGGTGTTTGAAGACCATGATGGGGACCATTGGGATATAGCTTTGTGTATAGGCCTGTTGGTCTTATATCTAAGCTTTCAAATATGGTCTATGGATTTGCAGTACATGCTTGGTTTTTATACAGTTTTATACAGTTCTCTTAGTATGGCTAGAAACTATTCCTAGCCATATCACCTTTTCTGCGGACATCCCTGTACACAAAGGATGCTGCACTAAAGGATGGGAACTGAGGCATTAAAAATGACATATTTTAATACTTTTTTCTTTTTTTAATATAAATTGTAGAGGTAGTTTGACCTAGGACTGTCCTTTTTAATTCCTTACAGAACTAGCAGTGTTGTCCATTTTACAATAAAAATTGCATGTATACAGTTTTTCAAATTCTGTCTGAAGACACAGTGGATCCTTCCTCAGCTGGACTCCCAGGCTAATTTTAGTATTGCAGACTTTCCCGGAGTTACAGACAACAACATCAAAGGCAGTACTGCCAAGTGACTCTTTTTAAATATTAAAGGGAATACATCAATAAAACAAGAAAGAACTCTGTTGTTACGCTTAGGTGAGAAATGCTGTCTCTTTATCATTAAAGTGATCTTGTGACCTAATGCTAAATTCATTAGTGAATAACATAACAATTCCTTATGCTGTATGAACACCTTCAAAAGACTTCATGGCACTTTTGTCCTGCTAGATTGGGACTGGAGGCTGGGTGGGCATATATCAGGGACATGACTTGTTTCACTGATGACATTCAAAGGGCAAGCCCACTGTAAAAAGCAGACATGCCTACTCCATCTCAGCCTGGTATGATTGCAGTTCTGGATGACTGTGAGCCTCGCTTGACAAACCTTCTATGGGCTGCATATGCACAGAATATTTTTTGAGTAGCTTTACCCATGGATTAATGCCAAGAGAGCACATAGCATACCATGAGCACATTTATTGGTATAGGTCAAAAAAGGGACATCTTTTCTGGTATCTCCAGATGCTGGACACCACAAAGCTAACCCACGAGGGTAGGACATAAACACACATTCTGGACCATCCACACTAAGCAATGGATAGTTGTGTGTAATACAATGCTATTTTATATTTTCTTTCTGAATTGAAGTTTTTTGTTCCAAGCACTCGTCACATCCCATTACGCTACTAATTACAAATGTGCCCATAAGTCGAGACAGGGGGGATATGATAGAAACATTTAAATATATAAAGGGAATCAACACAGTAAAGGAGACTATATTTAAAAGAAGAAAAACTACCACAACAAGAGGACATAGTCTTAAATTAGAGGGACAAAGGTTTAAAAATAATATCAGGAAGTATTACTTTACTGAGAGGGTAGTGGATGCATGGAATAGCCTTCCAGCTGAAGTGGTAGAGGTTAACACAGTAAGGAATTTAAGCATGCATGAGATATGCATAAGGCTATCCTAACTATAAGATAAGGCTAGGGACTAATGAAAGTATTTAGAAAATTGGGCAGACTAGATGAGCCGTCACATTCTATGTTTCTATGTTTTTTGGTTTTTTTTGTATTTCTGCTTCTGATGAATGGACATATTGGGATTTGTTCACAGAACAACTGATTTTACAGATGGAAAACCAAATAGAAAAATGTAGTTAAAAATAGTTAAGATGTAACTTTAGTTAAGCTGGCGAATTTTTTTTTTTTTTTTTTAATTTTGTAACTTTACACTTTTCCACCTTTTTATGTTTCCGTGCTTTCCTTGTTACTGCATTGCTTTATGCCAGAGCTCTTATCTAACAGTTCCAAAAGAAGGATGCATGCGTATCACACCATTCTGTGCTCTGTGTTTTTGTATTTTTATCATTCCATAGTTATGGTGCAGAATATTGCTTGTGATGCTGATTTTGTTTATAATTCTGTATTCCACTTCTTTGCTTGCCAATTTGTCATAATGTACTGCCCTGTTCCTTAATTCTGCAATACTATTGTAAGCTTAGGTGTTAAAATCACCATTGACCGGAAGTGTTTGAATATGATGTTTATAGTATGCTCGTGTTTGTTTGCAGTGTTTAAGTTTAATCTTTCAGTGTGTGTTATTCTTTGCCTCTCTGAGTGCATTTTCTGCCCACTGAATGTCTCCAAATTTTGTATGAAACAACAACCATTGAATGGTCAGCTCTGGCTAAGTTTGCAATCTTACCCCAGGTAGTTTATTATAAAACAAGCCGTCAAGTCAAGGGGAAACTCAATGGAAACTTAAACTTCTGAGCGGCTACTTTGTAGTAAGTGTAAGACACCTTGGGATTCATAGTATTATCCATCAAATAGAGGCTTCTTTCAGTTTTTGGAAGGCTAAAATGTGACATTTGTGAATACATCCCTCTCTTCCTGTCTAGCAAACACCATGCATTATCTCTATTTAAGGAATGAGAGAAGGCTTGGTGCACATGCCTTGAGTTATAAAAAGTTGCAGATTATATTTCAACACTACTATTTAGACTTAAATTCAGCAACCTAGTTCACAAAGGACTACAACTGTATTATTTACTGAATAAACCCCATGTAATATTTTACACATTCTCACTCCCCTTAGCTCTGTTAAACTTGAAATGATATGACCTGACAGATACATTTTCTGGCTTTATAGATCTGAAACCTTGTGATCGATGGTTTGTAGGAAAGCCCAACCATTATAGAGAGAAAACCAATCCGTAAGAACAGTGCTTCAAAATTATGTTACTCACTTTATATAGTGTGTTTCTACAGGATATAGTCCACATGAACTCTAATTTTAACACAAAAAAAGGAAGGATATGCTTCTACATCTTGTCATGAATATATGCTTTTTGTATTTGTATATGCATGAGAAATGGTAGGAGGCATAATGACTTGTAATTGGAGCAATTTACTCTTAGCAAACATCAGTTGTTATCAACATGATAAAGAAAACAAACAGTGCCTATATACATGTTCCATTCATCTGTGACTGCCTATGCCTGGATTTCGCCAAAGTTTTTACTATGATAACCAGGGAACACCACAAACTGTGACAAAAATTAAGCAACCGAGAATTCCCACGCCCCCTCCCAAATGGAATATGCCTTACCTTCTAATATAATTCTATTAGATGGAGAGTGGGAAGTTCAGTAAGCCATGCTCAACTGGCCTCACAAGTTGACAAGTAAGGTCTCACCACAAAACACATTTTATTCATTCATAGGTTCACTGTAACATTGTTGCACAGTTTTTTTGCTCAACAACCTTCCCTACACCACAAGGGCAGAAGTCATGTCCCCCCTTCCCCATCTGTTAATGGAGATCCTTTATGTGCCCTTCTAGGTTGCTGCCATTGCTTTTCTGCTAATAGAGAATAGTAGATGACAGATGATTGGTAAATGCAGGACTTTTAAACTGAATATTTCTAAAATATGGGTGGTGTAAGTGTTTCTACTTTACTTCTATTGGCTGCAGTTTATCATGTTTACTTTAAATTTGTAATTTAATGTAAAAAAAAGTTTTAATCTGTTAATCTATTTAGCGTTGAATTTCTTTAATTGACTCATTAAAATCATTCATTAGTGCTGTTTCTGCCTGGCATGATGTTAGGGCACCACAAGCTACATTAAAGAAAAGCATCATAAAGTTAATTTTCTTCTGTGAATCTAAAAAGGTTTTCATACTCGGAAAACGTCACACAATGCTCAGTGTTAGATTCTATTGCATGTTTTGTTAGTTTAAGTGCTAGATCAATTAAATGTGTAAACCGAGAGTATCCCCTAAGGACTGATTGTGTCACTGATATGCCTGCTCATTCCATAGGACACATTAGATGGCTTTCTGTGCCTCTTTATTCAGAGACATTTAAGAACCATCAAATAATAAAAAAATTCCTCCGGGGGTCCAGAAATAGAAGCTATTAATGGATCTCCTGATGGTATTGTGTTAGCTGTGTATTAAAAATATGTATTCGTCATATAGATCATAGTATTTCCTAAGGAACTGCTGTGCACCTGGTATTGGTCTGAGGGCCATAAAAGACTAGATCTTCATACTATTCTCTAGATGTGTCCCAAGCATGCATTTATTGGCAAAAGGGAGAAAGTAAAGTTTGTAGGTTTAGGTGACATTCCATAATTGTATTATTTTATGGCCCAAGATGGGAAAAAATGTGATTCAAATGCTGTCACTTCAGTTCCTGTGGTGCAACAGCTTAAGTTTGACTCACGTTTAACTATTTGAAGATAGTACCACGACCCAGCCTGGGAACTCGTACTATTGAAATGACTCCTTATTTAAAAAATAAAACACAGTTTAAATCCATAACTACATCCTACTGAATAAATAATATTTTTAATTGGGGCAGTTTTATGATATACTTGTATATTTGTGATAGTGTTAGAGACAAAATTGAAAATGCATTGACGCTCTCTCTCCTTGTATTTCTTATATGTAAGTGAATCCTTAACGTTGGTCCTTAAAGCTGGTCCATGCTGCTGGGATTGATGGAAGAAGACAGAGTTGCATGGTGTGTTAGAATTTGGCACCAGCTATGAGTATAGGTTGTACAAATACTGAATCCCACCAGATTCACTCTTGGAACAGATTATCAGGCTGCATGCTAAGTACCGGAGAGAACTAGAACCTTGTGCTATTAATTTTTTAAATATAGGATGAATAGAATGTTTCTCCGTATAGCCTGAGAGACAACATACCTATATATGGCTAAATTTGGATAAGGAATAAGGCTTAGCTGCATATCCTAAATGGATAAGCGGAAAAAAACAAACAGATTTTTCCAATGTAATACTTTTACTGATATTTTTTTATGAAAACCGTTTTAACGAAAATCAGGATTATGTCAGAACTTTACTGTTGTTCACCTGTGTAATGTGATTTTTTTTATTTTTTTTATTTTTTTTTTCCATGGAAATTATTTAAGCATTCTTGTCCTCTAATTAGCCTTACATTCTGTACTATCAAGAGATTATTTTTTAAATCAAACTGTCACCATGTTTCTGCACCAGTTTAAAAATACTAACAAAAGAGCCCAACCAAATGATCAATGAAATAAGTACAAAATTTAAAGAGCTGCTAAACACATAAAAGATTATTCCCCAAACCTTGTAAAACAAACTAAAAATGTAGAAAAGTGTCAGCGCCTGATGAATAGTCCCCAAGAGTTAGTGCAAATGGGTCATATGTGATGATATTCAGTTCTTATTATGCAGAGTACAAAAACTGAATTTTATATCACCTCTACAGCGGTGGATATGTAGGGTTTCAAGTAGTCTGGGTTTTTCGGTGTTGCATCAAGCATATAAGGCACCATGTATCCAATAGATAAAATATTTTTCTGTGTACCTTAAAAGATACAAAGAAACAGGATATAGTGTAACACAGTTTAATATACACAAAGAAATCCCCAACCCCTAATGGAAACTCTTACACGGTAAAAAAAATGTGGTTCTAAGTTTCCCAAAACCACAAGCAAATTCTCCAGTAATATAAGTGTGTTCATAAGGCAACGGTTACCACTCCGTCGGAGCAGCTAGATCCACCAAAGTCCTAGGTGTCAAGCCGCAAGTGTGAAAGCCGAACTGGAAGGACGCCGTAATGAAACACTGATGGAGAAGTCTGTTCACAGGTAAGTATGCAGGCCGGTCTCCAATCTACGCGTTTCGCCCGAGCTCGGTGAGCTTTTTCAAGATAAGGAGGTAGCCTTACTGTGTTTTCCTTATATATCCTTGACGTTTCAATTTCAGATTGGTACTGTCTTAAAGGTATATTCTCTGCTGTGGCAGAGCTTTCCCTATCTCTTTCAACAGTGTTGTAAATTGTACCCATTCTTTGCTAAGAATGGTTATATTCTTTTTAAAACATAAAATTATTCATTTATATTGTCTCTAAAGCATAAAATTACATATTTAGATCCAACATAAAAAACTTTCTTCATACGCATAAGTAAATTTACTTTATAATATCTATACAGGTCACGCATAAAAAAATCTTGTCTTAAAGGTGCATTCCCTGCTGTGGCAGAGCTTTTCATGTCTCTATTGACATTTATATTGTACATTATGACTAATCATTGCTAAAAAATTGTGTATAGTCTTTTCAAAACATAAAATGGCACATTTACCTGTTCTTTAAAATATCAACTTTTATATTTAGATGTGCTATAATAGATAACATTCTCCATATTTTCAAAAATACATTTGCATTTTAATATTCATAAAAAAGACACTCCTTATCAAAAAAAATATTTTTGAACGTAATGCAATAAATTTACTAATGATAATTACTAAGATCAATAGAAGTGGAAATATTGTGGTATTTAAAATAATTGTCAGTCAATCATTAAAGTGGTGCTTTAATGATTGTTCTAATTATTGAGGAATCTTGCTTTGTCTCAAATGAGAATATGGCAACATCGGGGATAGAGTGTTCTATCTATCAGATTCTAGAAAAGAGGGCGTATGTATCGTAACCAAAAAGCTCCACTTGTCGTGATTGGAGAAAATGTACTATATTAATATCATTCACAATGTATGGTGGTGGAGGTGGAATAAAATTCTGTTTTTGATCTCTGCATAATTAGGACTGAATATCATCATATATGACTCATTTGCACTAATTCTTGGAGACTAGTCATCAAGTGATGACACTTCTCTAAGATTTTAGTATGTTTCTGCACCAAAGGCAGAATTTCGTTTAATTTTTTTATTTTTTATTTTTTTTAAATAGGTGTGTTGGCTGACATGGGTTTACATTAAGGGGTTAAACTAAGTCTATGTCTCTTTTTACTTGTTAACTTACTGAAATTGAGACTTTAGACCAATACAGCTCATTGTTAATTACTTCTGTTTACAGCAAACACAAATGTAATGAAGTATGTCAATATTTGGGCTCATCTGTAGTTCTATTATTTCCTTGAGCATACATGGGTTTGTGGAAAAAGAGGCCTACTAGATCAACAATCGTACATTATTACATGCTTTAAAAGCATGTCGTTCTTGGCAATGTTAATATATTTACATCGTTCATAAGCTGAAAAGAAGAATGCTTCCATCAAGTTCAGCTTTTATCACATCTGTTTTTGCTGTTGATGAAGGAGAATGCAACAAACTTTCCAACGCAACAAACTAGAAAAAAATTATTTCTTCTGAACCCCAGAATGTCAGTCCGTTTTCTCCTTGAATCATGAAGCTGTTATCCCACATATTGGGATATCCCCAATGTTGGCACCCTTGGTCCCATCAATGTGTTGGGACTCAGTGGTTTAAATGTGATAGCTCCATCTTACATACACTGCCCATGTACTTTTATTTCAAGTTCTTCCCATACTTACAGTTAAGACTGGGACACTACGAGGTGATACTGAGCGGTTTGGGCTGTACTTTATATTTTTCTCAAAAGTATTTTCTATTGGTTTTACATATTTTTGAAACAAATGTTTGCATAATCATGAAATACTCCTAGTATTTCCTCTGTCCTCAGCCTGGGCTCTTGGTTAGGAGTACTTATATGCTCTAGACTGAGGCACCTCATACTATATGCTACTTTTTTGACCACTCTTTATTTTACTAGCAGTCTTATATTTGCCTCTTCATATACAAACTGTTGTAATTCCTACACGGTTCACCTGATTTGGATGTAAATACCCTCAAATTAAAGCTGAAAGTCTGCAGCTAAAGCACATCTTGTTCATTTCATTTCAAATCCATTGTGGTGGTGTATAGAGCCAAAAAGATTAGAATTGTGTTGATGTCCCAATATTTATGGACCTGACTGCACATACCTGCAAACCAGAATATCAGGGAGATAAAACAATTGACACTTTTGTCATCCACAATTTATGCTTTTTAAGGTTTTACCAGTCCGGTCAGTAAAAAAATTGAATTGCTCATTTTCTAACACTTGCTGTTGATGTTTATGCTTTATTCATGTGGTGTTTTTGTTTTATTCCTTTCTTAGGTTTGTGTCCTGCGACCATATTCGTAATGGAACATTGTTTTGTAGAATGATTTTTATTTCAATTCTATTTATTTTTGCTTAAACATTCATAAACATGAAGATGCCTACCTTTAAGAGACTTATTTTAGGAAGACGATTTTTACATTGGAAGATTGGTGCAATAACACTTGTATTTATGGGATTTTTATTTTTATTACAAAGAGAAGTAGTAGACAGAGAGAGAGATGAACTTGGAGTTCAGGGAGGCATTTACAAAAAGAAAAAAATGCTAGACATGGTGATAGATGCCGTCAACAATATTAAAGATGCTATGCCAAAAAGGCAGATAATTGCACCAGTCAGACAAAATGACAATGATGGTAAGAGACAGTGCTTGCCTGGATATTATACAGCAGCAGAGCTGAAGCCTTACCTTGAACGACCTCCTCAAGATTCAAATGCTCCTGGAGCTTCTGGGAAAGCTTATAAACCTGGAAAACTTACCCCAGAAGAAGAAGAAGAACGAGAGCGTGGAGACAAGAAACACTGTTTTAATGCATTTGTTAGTGATCGGATTTCGTTGCACCGTGATTTGGGACCAGATACAAGACCACCTGAGTATGAATAGCTATTTTTTATCATATTTATTTATTGTTTTTAAGACACTAGAATGTATTTAATATGGTTAATCTTGTAATGGAGGCAGGGCCAGATTAAGAGCCCACTGGGCCTGGTGCAGACAATTATGACGGGCCTAATTACAGAATCGTATCGACCAAAAACAGTAAAACACTCCAAAGCGTCATGTATCTGATGGAGATGGTGCTGGAGAGAAAGAAAACAGCTATAAGAAAACACATACCCTAGGCTAATCTCTCACTAATTTATGTTTTCATCTTTCAAGTAAATCCATAACCCCTAACAGCAGTGTCCAGTCAAGCAGGAAGTCTATGGGCATGGTAAAAGGGTGTGCCACTGACACAAATCACGTAACCTGCCAAAAGGGGCGAACATGCCCAAAAAGAGGATATGTCTGCCCAAAGAATTAGGCCAGCCTGGTATGAATGCATGTCAGGCTGCCTGCCAATCATGCAGCTGGCCAACTAAAGGCATAGTATGCAGACAGCACCCTGAGCTTGGCATAAATGCATCTGATGCGCTCGCTCAATGCTTTCTAAGGACTGTCCCCTAGCACTCGCTGGTCCACTAGTCTCCTTACCTTCTTACTAGCAGGCAGAAGCTCCTGGTATATAGTCTGGGACAGAGAAAAGCTGTATGTAATGAGTGTAGAAGAAAGGGAACATGCCACAGTGTTAGAGAGACCAAAGTCAGCATTACCTTAAAGGATCACTATAGGGTCAGGAACACAAACATGAATTCATGACCATATTGTGTTAACACCACCATCTAGCCCCCCTGGGCCTCTCATGCCTCCATAAATATAGCAAAATCTTACTGTATTCAAGCCTGAAGCTGTAACTCTGCATGCTATTAGACTCAGAAAAACAAGCAGTCTGCTGACATCATTAGAAGTGGTGGCCTAATCCAATCACTGTGCTTCCCCATAGGATTGGCTGAGACTGACAAAGAGGCAGATCAGGGGCAGAGCCAGCATGATTCAAACACAGCCCTGGCCAAACAGCATCTCCTCATAGAGATGAATTGAATCAATGAATCTCTATGAGGAAAGTTCAGTGTCTGCATGCAGAGGGAGGAGACAATGAATGTTTGGATGCATTTTAGGCAGCCATGACCCAGGAAGGATCTCTAACAGCCATCTAAGGAGTGGCCAGTGAAGTTATCACTAGGCTGTAATGTAAAGACTGTATTTTCCCTGAAAAGACAGTGTTTACAGCAAAAAGCCTGACGGTAATGATTCTACTCACCAGAACAAATTCAATAAGCTGTAGTTGTTCTGGTGACTATAGTGTCCCTCTAACTATATTCATTGTCAGCCAGTCCACACCAGTTTTGTTCCCATACCTCTTAAGTTTCCATACTTAAGTAAGAGTATGTGAAAAGTAGTTAGGGTTGCCACCTTTCTTGGAAAAAACATACCGGCCTTGCTAATTTGCATAATTAAATATGTATGGGTGACATCACATGATGTAAATCATAAGGAGTGACATAAGAGAAAATGCTGTAAAATAACCAAAAAACTACTTAGTTTGATTCTGCTGCATAGATGGATTCCTCCCAGTGCCCCCATGTGTCAATTACTCCAGGTCTCAGTGTTCCTATGTATCATTGTCTCAGTGCCCCATGTCTCCCAGTGTCCCCATGTATCCCAGTGTCCCCATGTCACTAGGAAGACGGGAAGACCTGGGGACACGGGGAGACCTAGAGACACGGAGACACCAGTGACACTGGGAGACTAGGGGACTCTGGCTGGGACGCATGGGGACACTGGGAAAATAGGGGACACTTGAAGACATGGGGATACAGATACCAGGGACACAGACACTAGAGACACTGGCTGGGGGACATGGGGACATTGTGAAACTTGAGTCACTGAGAGACATGGAGGCACTAGGAGACATGGGGACAGTGAGACACTGGCAGACTGGGGGCACTGGGAGACTAGGGGGCACTGAGACACCAGGGACACTGGCTGGGAGACATGGGGACACTGTGTCCCCATGTGTCTGTGTCATAATGTCTCCCAGACACTGGGAGACATTATGACACAGACACGTGTCTGTGTCTGCCATAATGTCTCCCAATGTCCCTTAGTGTCTCAGTGTATGTCTCCTTGCAGCCTTTCCCCCCACCCCTCGCTTCCCTGATCTGTAGGCTGTCTCTGCAGGGTGGGAGTTGCTGTCTGGACTCTCTGCAGCTGCTCCCCTGCAGATCAGTGAGTATAGATAGGCAGGGAGGGATATGCTGGAACTTCCTATCCCTGCCTGTCTCCACACACAGCGACCCCTTCTGGCCAGTGCTGGTATTGCAGAGTAATCTCCATTTATACTGAGAAAAATACCAGCATTTGTATTGCCTGTATCACTGCAATATTGGCACTAGCCAGGCAGCCTCAAATACTGGCTGTGCCAATAAAATAAAAGCCAGGTGGAATCCCTAAGAGTAGTGTGCAGCTCCATCAGCCCCTATGTTAATCCGGCCCTGAATGGAGGTTACAAAAATTAAGGGGAAAGGTTGTAAATCTGTCACATAAGTTCTAAAATTGGAGGAATTACAATAGAATCCAATATAATTAGCAGGAACATTTCATGTGTTCCCACGATGTATGCATCAAAACAATTTAGACAAAAATTCCTACTTGCTAGTCTGCCTTAACTTTAAAAGGTTCAAAAAACGCTATGGAAACAATATTAGTATATAAGAATATAATACCTCAGTTATTCCCCCCACCTGCTTTGCTGCGGGTCAGTGGGGTATTTCTCTAAACAGCAAGTAGCCATTAAATAATGAAGTTGGACAGCTCACTGTCCACCTTCTAGTTCCAGTCTCTGGCCAGTAGGTGGGGGCTCTATTTGAAAAAAAAAAAAAGAAATGCAGGGGTACAGTCAAAAATCCTCCCCAGCTCCCACCCATGAGTGGAGGCTGAGGAAGCTATAATGTGGGAGAGCCACATTGTTTTCCTAGCCCACACATATGGGTGATCAGTGGGGGTTCTTATTTAATAAACACAGGGACATCCCACCGACCCTTCCCAGCCCCAACCCATGGGCTATGGAAACAGGCTATATAAAAAGTAATTAAGGGGGTGGACATGCTATTGTCCTTTCCTAAACTCCTACACATTGGCTTTGGGTATGTAGAGAGATATTAAAACAAATAGATGTAGAAATGCTACTGTCCAGTGCCCCACCTGGCCCGTGGATTTTTGGTTGGGGACATAATGACAATAGGGAGGATGGATTTGCATTCCTAGTACCCCCAACCTCCCCAGGCTACAAAACATTTTTTTGGTGTTTTTAGGGATCACAATTTAACCTTTTGTGTACAATTCATGACAGGTGCATTGAGCAGAAGTTTAAGCGGTGTCCACCTCTTCCCACTACGAGCATTATAATTGTGTTTCACAATGAAGCATGGTCCACGCTGCTCCGAACTGTTTACAGCGTCATGTATACATCTCCTGCTATACTTCTTCATGAAATCATTATGGTGGACGATGCCAGTGTAGATGGTAAGTTACTAGCTATTAACCACACAATCGTTAAAATTACATGTCAAATTCCATTTTGTTTTTGTGTTTTGTTTTTGTTTTTCTATCATGAAAAAAACATTAAGCCTTGTGCTATGGTACTGAGATATAATATCATAATTGATTATTCTTTGTCTCAGACTTATGGAAAATTAAATCCGGATGGCAAACTTGAGGGAAACATTTCCAAGTTGTGACACTTTTTAGACGTAAGGTCTGGTATTTGTGTTGCTTTATAGACTTGGTGCCCTGTATTTGTCAAGCTCTAATTAATATATTCATAGTTAGAGCACTCTGTAATTAAAGGGACTCTCCAGTGCCAGGAAAACAATCGGTTTTCCTGGCACTGCAGGTCCCCTCTCCCTCCCACCCCTCATCCCAAGTTGCTGAAGGGGTTAAAACCCCTTCAGTGACTTACCTGTACCCAGCGCCGATGTACCTTGGCGCTGGTTCAGGGTCCGCACACGCTTCTCCCCCGCCAACGGCAATGCCGTGCACGCGCCTTAGACCTCCCCATAGGAAAGCATTGAAAAATGGGGATTTCAGTGACACTGGAGGTCCTCACATAGCGTGAGGACGTCCAGCAACGCTATAGCACACGGGGGAGTTAACCCTGCAAGGTAAATATTGCAGTTCATGAAAACTGCAATATTTACAGTTGCAGGGTTAAGGGTAGTGGGAGTTGGCACCCAGACCACTCCAATGGGCAGAAGTGGTCTTGGTGCCTGGAGTGTCCCTTTAAAATATTTGCCTCTAAACTTGATAAAGTTTCAAGTTCAGCTTTTTATATTCCCTGAAGTCTGTGATTTGTTTTGTTTCTGAACACACACTATTGTGCAGCATGATGCTTTGCTGAATAATCAGTTTTTAGGTTTTCAGTTTTCCTGCCAGGGAAAATGTTCAGCTCTTCAATTTTTTAAGACCAGTCATACGTAGCCAGTCCTCTGTGTTCCAGAGTGACAGCACAGGGAATGTGTCAGACTCAGTAGGAGGTACTTTCCCTGGTCTTTTATCCCCTGACACTAAGCAACAATAGAAAGTGTGATTCAATGCCTCTGCCCCGCAGAGTGTACTACAAGGCAACATACATTTTGTAAATTAATCTCTTTAACATGACTCTACACTTCATAGCCTCTTTTGTCCATTACACATTGAATGCTGGAAGAAGCACCCTGTCTCTCCTTCCACTCCTATAATTCCTAATAGGGACAGCGGCTTTCAAAAAGCACTTTATCTATATGCCCACCTGTACTATGTCCTTTTTAGCTAAATATGTCATCATTAGGGTGTCTAAAGGAAGATGTCCTCCATGGAAAACACTATCCATTTTTATGGCAATCCAAACATGCCAAATATAATGGTTTTGGTGTTTTCCACCTATTATTGTCCTGCATAACATTTATGGGAAGTGTACAGTAGTTTTCCTGGAATTGACAGATCCTGGGAAAGAGCTATGATAGAAGTGGTCCTTGCATTTTGTGTAGAGATTGTACATGCTTCCTGTGAGCATTTTGTACCTTTTCGAATGACTAATTTTATTATGTTTCTTTTCTTTGTTTTTTGTTTTCTTTTTCTGTTTTTGTTATTATTAATATTGTCCAAAAATTTCAATAAAAAATATTAGACAGAGATTGCACATCTGGCATTGTGCCAAACTAAGTAAAAAATAAAATAAAATGATTAATTTTTTTAAATTTTTTTTTTTTTATTCATTCAGAATATTTGAAAGATAAACTGGATAAGTATGTGGAGCAATTTCGAATCGTGAAAGTGGTCCGGCAGAAGGAAAGGAAAGGTCTCATTACAGCTCGATTGCTGGGTGCTTCTGTAGCAACTGGTGATACTTTGACATTTTTAGATGCACACTGTAAGTATCTAATTGCTTTCACTGCTGGAAGTTTCCTTAAGGTTGACATCACTAATAGCTTTGTTCATTAAATAGCATATTGACTTATCATATTCTTATTCTTGTCATAACTTTTGGAAGTTTGTTTATTTATATTTTTGCCCCTCACAATTCACAGTTTTATATAATAAACCCTGTGTTGGATTTTAATGGTTGAATGGAACGAAACATTTGATTTTCCAGTCAGTATAAATGATAATTCTAACTACCAGGAAATTTATCTGGAGTACAGAGCAAGGGCAACAAAAATGCATTAACAATTATTATTTTAATTCTTGAAATCAATTATATATTCTTTAAGAATACTATAATGTCCTTCTCATCATAACATCACCAGTATGTACTTGGAAACCAGAGTAATCTGAATATACCATTCCTAGTTAAACACTTTGTTACAATTATTAATATTATTATTGTTATTAGAACATCAAACAAACACAAATTGGAAGTTGGTAGTTTTTTGTAGTTTGTTTTTTCTCTTTACGTTTTCTTTTTTACCTGGCCCGTGGAGGGGAAAGGAAACACACTAAATGGATACCTAAAATTAGGTTTGATACTACTGTTGAGCTTTCAACCTCCTGTTATCAAGACCATTACATTTTATTTTCAAATCTCTCTCTCCTTTTGATGTCTCTTACCAGGTGAATGTTACTATGGTTGGCTAGAACCCTTGCTGGCACGAATTGCAGAAAATGACACCGCTGTTGTCAGTCCAGACATCGCCACCATTGATCTTAATACATTCGCATTTAGCAATCCGTCACCCTATGGTAATAATCACAACAGAGGGAATTTTGACTGGAGCCTTTCATTCGGTTGGGAATCTCTTCCCAGCGCAGAAAGCAGGAGACGGAAAGACGAGACCTACCCAATAAAGTAAGACTTGCATATCTTATGTCATGTTCTGCAAATTTGTTTTTGCCTTCGCTCGGATATGACTTAGTGTAAGCAGGTGTCATGAATACACCAGGCATGGGAATATCAAAATCGGGCACTTGATTGAGCATGAGAAATTAGCCCAGATGATAAATTATTTCATTACATGTTCTTGCTTTTCTAATGGTGGATAGTTATACACTTCTAGTCATCAAAGTGGAATTATGCACTGAATATAGTTTTATATGACATGAGTGTGATATTCTGTGGATAAAACTGTAAGTATTACATGCACTCTGTTAACGTTGTAATACTTTTGGTTTCTGAATTTTTCTAATGAACATATGATATAATTAAACATTGTATATCAATGTAGAAGTATAAGCCTGGTTGTTTACTGTAAAAAGCAGCACATGCTAAAAACACTGTCCACAGGCCCGACCAAGTTCAGGTATATTACAGACTTCTATAAAGTTAAGGTTTCACCCATGTAATTATCTTTGGTATTGGACTAATTACAGAATGCCTGGCTCTTAGCCACTTGATTTATATCCTCTAAGTGTGGGTTTCAGTTCAGCTAGGACCATTATAGGAGATGAATAGTTTGAATGTATCCTTGAGAATGAAAGAAAATGTTGGTGCAAAATTCTGTAAGTGAAGCGATAAACAGGAACATTTCAATAGTGACTGCTATTACTTAGAACATTTCCCCTCAAATTAATATTTTCCTCATTCTGTTAGGCTTGTATGTCTAGTAAAGGAATTGGGTAAGAATACATTAAATAACTACATCTTTCTAGAACAGGTTTTTGATAAGTCCAGGTTATCTATGCCGTTGGTAATGATTTCATTAATTATAGGACACCTACATTTGCTGGAGGTCTCTTTTCTATTTCCAAAGAATACTTTGAGCACATTGGCAGTTATGATGAAGAAATGGAAATATGGGGTGGAGAAAATATTGAAATGTCTTTTAGAGTAAGTATATCCAGAGTTGAAGTAGTGAGTCCTTGAAATATGCGGCCGCTCAGAAAACATTGTGTAAAAGAGAGGAGTTCCTTTAAACCAGTCAAACTTGATTTACTATTTTTGGATAAGCTTTTAAAATATTTTTTTCCTTCAAAATATCAAAAGTAATTTTTTTATATATGATATTTTATCAAATTATTAAAATACTATTAATTATTAAAGCACTTAAAAAGCGTATCCAAAAATATTAAATTGAGGCCCGAGTTGGAAGATACTTAACTACAAGGTCTGAAATGTATGAATAAGCTGAATTATGGATTATCCATTATTTACGCACTACAATAACATTCAATATTGTATAGATTGCTACAGAAGGTTTTTGTAGAGTAGAGGAACAGTAGTAATGGTACATGTGGGATTGGTAACCTTTGTAAATGCTGGTGTTGAGTCAGCTGGGTTTTTAGATACACTAGAAGTAAATTTAACTCAAGGCAGTGTGCTTAGTTTTTGGTCAGAGTTAAAACTATTCAGTTTCAAAAATGTTTTAGATGGGGATATGCCATCTGAGATGCCATTAGACTCTAACTAATAGAGTTCATTCTAGATTTTTAGGACAGAATAATAGGGTCTCATATGGAAAGTTTGATAAGTAATGCCATTCAACACTACCATCATGATGCAACCAAATTGTCCAGATTTTTATGTGTTTAGAGTACTACAATTTTTTTTATTAGAATTATACTAAACCAAAAACACTCTCTAGTATAGAATTATGTTCATAATAGTATAGAAGATAACTAAATTGGTAGTCCTCTTTTACCGTTGATGTCTCACTATGAGAAGACAGGTTCTCCTACTAATATTAAGTGTATATTTCAAAACCTGCTTTTTAATGGTTATACACAATTTCTTAGAACTCTCAAGAATTGTTTGGGTTTAGGGTCTCATTTTGAAGTTATCTCGAAGATTTCTGGTGTATTTCTAGAATATTCAGTTGAACAGAATCTCTCACTTCTAGATAAGTTACATTTTCTTGTTCCTTCATCAAAGTAAATGCAATTGCTGTGTTTAATGGGGTGAACAAAGCAGCATAGAAAAATTAAATTGAAAAAATGTATTTATCTATGCAGCACTTCTGTATTCTGACAGAGGCTATCATCCCGTGATGCTTAGGGCACTCATGTACTCTTGGGTGTTTGTGGAGAAATCCTATAGGACTGCAAGGACTCTTGGCAGTTTCTCCAGCAGTGCCATATGTGAGCATGCACCTTCCTTATGGCATGGTGGGTGCCACCTAATTTGCATGCTTTGACTGATATGCCCAGCAAAGCAGTTCTACTAAAATCAAAATTAATCCATAAGAATTAAAAAAAACAAAAACGAAAGGCCAACTTTTAACTATTTGGTCATTTTGGAAGAGTCCTTTCCTTTTCATGAAAATATTAGATTCAGAGATGCCACTTTTAGGTTTTGTTTTTTAGTTTATCTGGATGAACGAAAAGCAGTCATTCTTGCAACTGCTGAAGGATAAAGTACGTTCCTCGTTTATTTTTTGTTTTAATTATTTGTAGACAAAATTACATTTGTATTCTAGTTTTCTGGATCTGTAAGTATAGACCATGCTGAAATTCAACTGGATTTAGAATTCTTAACAGCCACTTCGGGTTCTGATGAGTTCTTAGCCTAGTTTTGTCAAGTGGTTAATAATTAAAATTAAATCCATCATTTTGTGGAGTTAGGTTGCATTAAATGGAACGTTTTCCCATAGAAGATGTCCATTTCTCTCTGTCTGCAGCAGTCTATAATCATTCTGAAGGCAGTAAAGATGACAAATGAAACACTTCCTGTAGAGTCCATTACGATTGTCTTATTTTTACTCAGACTGAAGCAAAAGAACGTATCTCCTAAACTGTAAGCCCGGCCAAAACCTTATTGACCTTTTTTCTGTTCCTTGTGTTTGTTGTTTGTTGTTTCATCTACATAATGTATAGTGCTTCAGATTGTATTGAGTATATAAATGAAAGTCACATAAAAAATTGTATGTGTATACCTCGATGTTTGTGCATCCAAATAGCAGTTCTATGACCCATTGCCACTGCTCATTATAAATAAAAAGGCTTGTTTGTCTGTGTATACCTTTTATTGTCAGAGTTCCCGTCATTGTGAACAATAATCTTCCCTTTTATAGAGTTGTAAATACGAGGAATTTGTAAATACGAGGAATTTCAAGTTGTTCAACACTACTGCTATAGAAAGGTTAAATAATGTGTGGGATAAATGCTTCTCCATGCAGTAAATTATCAGGTGCTTCTATTCAGTGAATATGATTGATATAGAATAACTGGGTTTGATATGCTGTCAAACTGCATCTCTGCACAGTTGCTTTTGTCTGGGAAGGCATACACAGATTTGGTGTTTAGTTATGTCTGGATTTGTCTCAGATACATGTGTTGAGCTGTGAATTATATACAATTAGGACATAAGAATGTTTCACAGATTGGTGCCTAAATCGTTCTGGTATGATCATGAATAATACTACAGTGTCAATTATTTTTATTTATACTCAAAGTTAATACAACAGTGACATTGGCTCTGCAGCTGTTGGTCACCCGGCCCATTCATTCATAGGTTATTCACCACTGTTACATAAGGTTTCATGAGCTGTGCTTTTTCAAAATGTATTTTCTATTTCCCTTCTGACATGCTCAGAAAGTTATTTTCTTCCAGTGAACAAGCTTGTTTGTGACCGAGAATGTAATTGTGCCACTCTGTGAAATTATCTGTTCTATTTTTACAGTTAGAAAAATCCCACTAGGGCAGTTAAACTTCAGATTTTTTTTTTTATTTCATTTTTTTTCATCAGAACTGTGCACTTAATAAATGGATGTCACATGTTCCGAGAACATTATATAACAGTCACAGTGAGAATTCAGAAATAAATAACCACTCCATCACAATTAGAGAATGGTATCCCTAAAATATAAAATTCCATGTTCTAGCTCAATTCCACTGTAGACATTTGAGGACTTCAGTTCCCATGTTGCTAGGCCATTCTTAATGACCGCTGTGCATCAAAATTATTCTTCAGGGTTGGCCATAGATGGGCAGATCATTATTGGCATGACCAGCAAATTCCAACTAAATTGAGTTATTGTTTTACACAGTGGTATATTGTAGTAAAAAATATTTCTTTTAAAAAGGGAAGGACCGATTGTGTTTGTGCATTGTTTATCTCAATCTGTTCACAAACCATAGTAATGCTTCAGTTTTTGTGGCAGTATTTTTTGACTGATTGCTGGATAGTCATTTGTGTGTAAAATGTATTATTTGTTGTGTTACTGTTTTTAAAGGGTCAATGAAAATAATTCTTACTATTATCGGGCATTATTGAAATATAAATGTTTCCTCTCTTGGATCTGATGGACAAACATGGTAGCTGCTAATCAACCCTGGCTTCAGACGAATTTACAGAACATTATTTTCACTGTGTGTAAAACAATCACCAATTGCAATGTAAATTGTATGCACAATGACGCCCCTTAAAGTCTCCAGCCACGAACATTAATTTCTGCCTTATGTTTCATCTCAATTTATATAAAGTGTGCCAAAGCTTGGTTATAAAATTGTGGGCAATTCTCTATTTGTCTTGTCTTCGAGTAAAGGTAATTGTTTGGCTGTTTGTTGATGAAGCAACTTGATAAATAAATTAAGAGAAATAACAAATTAGATATATGGCTTTATAATTTTATGACTTGGTGTACTCTGCATTTTGTTGCAAATTATGTTGTTTGCTTTGTGCTTCTCAGAATTTTGGCAGGCTTCAGTGTAGAATGTAATAGTGTGCCCCCTGGTGGGGATACTCATATGGCACCATTTAAATAAATTGGAAAGTTAAAACCGCAACCTTACCAGTACCAGGATAGGATAACCACCAGAAAATGTCCTGGTGTCCTCGTTGGCAAATTCGGCTCTGAACACTGGATGCATTAATACAAACCAAACCTCCATCAGGATATTACTACACGAAAACCCAATTGTTTTCTCCTGTATGTATAGAGAATTATGTAAACCAACCTCCTTACTGATCACCTACTAAATGTTTTCCTTCATATTTCAGTTGTCCATGTGTGCAAATTAGGACAATAAACTAAGTACAAGCTTTGTTTACTGACATTAACGGCTTTTTTTTTTTTTTTTTTTTACCAACTTAGGTTTGGCAATGTGGTGGCCAGCTGGAAATATTGCCATGTGCTGTTGTTGGTCACGTTTTCCGCAGCAAGAGTCCGCATACATTCCCTAAGGGTACCCAAGTTATTGTGCGGAATCAAGTTCGACTAGCTGAAGTTTGGATGGATGATTATAAGGAAATATTTTATCGAAGAAACAGAGAAGCAGCTAATATTGTCAAAGAGGTGGGGTTTTCTTATTATTTATTTATAATTTATTAAATTTATATAAAATATTGTACAGCTGCATTTTCTTGCACTATAATATGCTCTCCATTATCAATGTAAATGGACATCTCTAATAATAAAGCTGTTTGATTTACTTTTGCTAGTTAAGTTGACATGAATGGAAATATGTACAGCACAGTTCTCTGTTGTAAGACTCTATGCATACCTTCAACTTTTAATATTAAAACCACTTTAGGTGTGCATTCGAGCAGGGGTTCCTAAAAGGTAGATCCTCAGATGTTGTAGAACTACAAATCCCTGATGCTTTGCATGTCTTTAGAATTATTTTAGAATGACAAAGCATCATGGATGCTGTAGTTTTAAAACATCTGGGGATCTACCTGTTGGGCACCCCTTTATTAAAGTTTAAAGGCACACTCTCAGTACCAAAACCACTACATCTTAATGTTGTGGTGTTAGTACAAGCATGCTGCCCCTTTTCTCTCACAAATGTAAACAACACTATTTCTAAGAAACTGAAATGTTTACATGCCTCCAAGGGCTGCCAGCCACTAGAGATATTTTCTCAAAAAGACTAAGATCTTTACATTCTGTATCTTCACACATAGCAGGATGACTACTGTCATGCTTCTCACAGGAGGAGTACTGGATTCAATACTTCTCTGTGAAAAACATCTGACTAGAGCAGTGTTGCAAGTGCCGCCCATGCATGTAGGTTACCATTGCACTAGAAAAAAGTAATCAAGGGTGACTTTTCCAGAGAGACTGTAGATGCTCCGAGAAGACTGATCTGGAGGTGGATTTAAGGACAGTTGTTTTGAACCTAGTGTTCATTAAAGCATTTAGTATTTGGTGTGTGTGTGTGTGTGTGTGTGTTTTCTTTTTCTATTATCATTAGTTCCCCTAATCTTTTCTTCATATTTTGTTTCCTGTACATGACAGAAATCCTATGGAAACTTGTCCAAGCGACTTGATTTGAGACATAGCCTGCAGTGTAAGAATTTTACGTGGTATCTAAAAAATATTTATCCTGAAATTTATATACCAGATCAAAATCCTCTTATATATGGAGATGTAAGTACTTCAATTTACACATTTATTTTCATTATAATTCATGTATGTATAAAAACAAAAAAAAACCTGCAATTCTTATTTATTATTCTTATTTACCACTATGTGGAGTAACTGCTCATGCTAAGAATTGGACCAAGCATGGTCTTTAAAGACTAGATTGATTTGATAACCTCGACAGACATTTAAATGGCTTCATTAAAACAGTCTTCATATGAGAATCATGTATAACAACACTGTTGGGAAATAGTCTGTGTATCTTGGTTAGGTACCCAAGTACACACATCTCCACATCGTTTACACTACAATAACGGTAACTGCGTGCTAGGTTTTTGCTGGATGTTTGTTCACATTAAATAGAGTTTCACTGTTTTGTTGGTGGTCTACTACAGTTAGTGAGTACACTGTTGGCAAATTGAGATTCACAAGGAAGTAACATTTTTAAATATTTCTATAACATTCAAAATTGGGCAAATAATTTAATTGTGAATAAAATAGCTAGATTTTCCATACATCAACATTACCTATACTTAAAGGGACACTATAGTCACCCAAACAACTTTAGCTTACTGAAGTAATGTTGGTTAAATGACCATGCTCAATTGCCTGCATATGATTTGCACTGCCTTTTTAAACACTTCATGTAAAGAGTAGTCTAATGTGTACACTTGCTTTATTGCACATTAATTTCAATTTTATGATTTCTTATCTCCTGCACTGTTAATAGCCTTCTAGACCCTGCAGGAGCCTCCTGTGTGTGATTAAAGTTCAATTTACAGAGCAGGAGATATAAACGCCTAAAGCAATTTGTCTAAAGCAATTTAACATCTGATTTGAAAATTAATTTTTTTTTCATGCATGCTGTGTCAGTCACAGCCAGTGGGGGTGTGGCTAGAGCTCCATAACCAAAAAAAATTTGATTTAACTCCTACATAGCAGAGGTTTGAGCAGTGACACTGCAGGGGCATGGTCGCTACACCAATAGTGCTTCATTAAAGGAACACTATGGTGCCAGAAATACAAATGTGTATTCCTGACACTATAGTTGTAAAATAAGTTTAGATCACTGGGCACCCTTACCCTCCTCCCCTCCCAGGTAAAAGTTGATTTTTTTTTTTTTTTTTTCAAGCACTGTGTGTGTCCACTTTAAAAAAAAAAAGTACATAATGCCTCTGTGGATTTTTTTTCACTGCAGCACAAAGCAAGCATACCCTAAATGCAGCCTACATCAATTGTAGGTATTGTTGAGCATAATTTGCCAGGCTACCTATTTTTATAAAAAAAAATCCTAGCCAGCATGCCATGGCTTACACATCACACAGCACGTGTCAACCTTGACTATGCAGCCTTACTGTTGATTGCTTTGTTTGCCAGAGAACTTGCTGTGCCCTAATGACCACCTCTGATAATGTGCAGCAATAGTGCTGCATTGCTATGGCAAGCAGAATTCACTTAATATATTCCAATTTAAATAAAGCATGGAACATACAAATTCCCTTATTTTTACTACAAACTATCTAAACTGGACTGACTGTATGCAAAATAAAACTTATAGAATGTATTCATTAGACTGATCCCTGTTTCCAGTGTGTCTCAGTTGCTTTAAAGGGACTCTCCAGTGCCAGGAAAACAAACACATTTTCCTGGTTAAAACCCCTTCAGCTACTTACATGAATCCAACGCTGATGTCCCTCGGCGCTGGGTCAGGCTCCTCCCCTGCCAACGTCAACTGGCGAGGGAGACCTAATGCGCATGCGCGGCAATGGCCGCGCGCATTGGCCCCCCTCCCCATAGGAAAGCATTATATAATGCTTTCCTATGGGAAAAATCTAACGCGGGAGATCAGTGAGGACGTCCAGCATCAGACAACCGACCAAAAGTTTATTTGGATTCCGGAAGCCCTCTAGTGACTGTCTGATAGGCAGCCACAGAGGGCCGACTTAGAGCTGTAATGTAAACATTGCAGTTCTCTGGAACTGAAATGTTTAACATTAAGTGCAATAGGGCCACAGCATCAAGACCACTTCAATTAGCTTAAGTAGTCTGGGTGCCTGGAGTGTCCCTTTAAGAAGACTTTGACACTACTGTAGACTACTGACACTACTGTAGATTACTGTATTTGTAGACAGTTTATTTGGATCTGAAGAATGTGATACTTCTGTTCCAACCAATTGGAACCCATTAATCTGGCTTGGGAACCCACTAGTTGGTAATGACCTGCATGGGATGAAAATCATTGTTAAATATCTAAACAAATAAAAGAACACATCTAACTTTAACAGTATATGTAGTTTAATACAATGTTAAACAAAAATCTGCACACCAGTCAAGCCATAAGACTTGCTTTTCCCACAGAAATCACAAATTTGCAGTGATGCTACTACTGCAAAGGATTCTGGGTGGGCATATGCAAATTAGTTTAACAACAAATCACATTTTTGCCTCATTCCATTATATATACAATGTATTTATTTTAAATGTTTCTTTGTAATACTGTTTGAAAACCAGTTATTGATTGTGTCTTCTAGATAAAAAACATAGGCAGAGAGTTGTGTTTGGATGTTGGAGGTGATAATCATGGCGACAAACCTCTCATTCTTTACAGCTGTCATGGACTTGGAGGCAACCAGGTAGAGAACCCGATTTATTTATTTTCTCAAGAGTCTCCAGTTTGCAGAAAAAAAACTTAATTTTGAAAGTAAAAGCACCGAGTTCTGGTTTTAATGTTTACATATGTTTATTAAGTTCGTTCTTTCTACAAGTTCGAACAACCTGCGCATACAGCTGAATATTGAAGGCAGCTAAAGGAACCAAAACCAGAGTTCCATTCCAGTTAAAGATATGTGAGATGAAAGGAGGGTGTAGTACCCTTGGGGAATTCTCAGATGTTGATAAAAATGTAAAACATGAGGAAGTGTATGACAAAATATGGTGATTCTTGGTGCATCAAAAATACTACACTTACTACATTAGGTGACATTATCACCCACTACTAATTGAAAGTTAGTTCTGTAGGCTTTAGGAAGAATAATGAAGCATAAGGAAATATTTTAAGGATGATTAATAGACGAGGAGACAGATTCTATCTAACATGCCACCGAAATGGATCTGCTTAGATGAATAAATCCCCAACTGAATTAGTCTTTTTTTTATAAACATTAAATTTGGTTTAAAACTTAGCAGTAAACAACTTTGATTTATTATTAAGTTACTTATGTAATTGAAAATGTATGTATGTTATATAGTGAAAGGTTGCATGAAAGTACTAAATCTAGGTTTTAAGGTGGACCTGACAAAGCAATACAAAAATGTAGAACTCTGTGTATGGATGAGTCTAATTCAGGCCTGGACTGGCCGTTGGGCAAACTTGACAAATGCACGGTGGGCCACAAAGGCCATGGACAGAGGCCAACAAAAGGGTCTCCCCAGCTGGCCCATGCAAAGTCAGCCTTACTGTCTACCTTCTCGGGCTAGGTGGGGAGATAAAAGCTCTCATACACCGACCCACTAGCATTTTGTTGAGGAAAAGAGTAACAGCTCAATAGTCCTCTTGTGAACATGGAGTGTTGCAGCGGTTACCGCGGCAACGCTCGAACACAGAACTTAGCTAGGGAAGGGGATATTTAAAAAAAATAATAAATATAATTGCTCCCTTCTCACTCCCCCACACAATATAGACTTTATACCACCAAACATGCATGCATGCATTATAAGGGTGCTGCTGGTGCCAATTTATACAACATACACGATCCAGCACACTCACTCATTCACTTCCTATATATATGTGTGTATGTATGTGTGTGTGTGTGTGTGTGTGTGTGTATATATATATATATATATATATATATATATATATATATATATATATATATATATATATTCTGTGAGACTTGAGATTGATGTTTAATGAATGAGCAATTGCACTGGATCTTGTATGTTGACACACACACAAACACACACACACAAGTGTTGCATTTATAATTTTGTTCAGTTTATGTTGTATGAATATATAACATTTTTAAGATAAGGTATTGAAAGGTTACTATTAAGGCGTTATTGACCTCATCTCGTTGAGAAGATTCACAAGTGTGCTGAAAACTAATCGTTAAGTTAATTAGTGCCTTAAACTATATTTGTTTGATATCAAGCTATACTTTATTTTTATCTAGTTTTTTGAATATACAGCAAATCATGAAATTCGCCATAATATTCAAAAGGAGTTGTGCCTTCGTCCTAGTAAGGGACCAGTGCTTCTAAAGGATTGTGGGTATCAAGGCATGGGTACATCTGTGAATCCTGAAGAGAAATGGGAATTACTAAAGGTATACTTTTCTAATTTTATGTTTACTTTATACAAAATACAATTACTGGTGTAATATCCAGTTTACCTTTTAATTTGTGTTGCTGTTTGCATGACAGTGCTTCTCTGTCCACTCTAGACTGAATGATCAAGTGAATGTCATATTATTTCTAGAATCGTAAATAGACGCGGACACAACTGCTTAAGTAGACAGTCTGAGCCTGTGAATGCTTTGGATAATAACATGGTGCATGGTACTTAGAGCACCCCGAGCCCATGCTCATATCTGAGAATGGCATTAAGCAGTAACGATTTGCAAAACATTTTGCTGGCATTAGACGGTCAACCAGCACTGTCAAGCAGGAAGCTTTTAATACTTTGTCTTGGGCTGCCTGTGGTACTTGTGTTCTCATTGTAAATGCAGTATGAAAATGGGGCATGCACAATATGGAAGGTTGTTCCTCTCGCTCCCTAGAGAGACCTAAGCCAAGTACTACACATGCGCGGTCTGCAGCTTTCCCCATATTAAAACAAACTGGTTTCTGAAACTGTCACCTTGGCTGTGTATAAACAGGTATGTGGTATGGTTGCTGACAGTTTATTGAGCAGTTATGTGGTTTTCATTCCACTATGTGAAAAAACTAATGGAGCAACAACATTCAAGGTATGGTTTAAGCAGTGCATGTAAGGAAAAAACAAAACATGATTTTAGCCATTTTTCAAACTTGCTGCTTGCCTATTTATGAAGAATACTGCTGTGAGTGTGGAATGTTGTTATATTCAATAAACCCCAGAACTGTTGTGGGATATGTTAAGTGCCTCCATTTACAAAATGGGTGGACTGTCTTCGGATGCATTACTTCCTGGATTAGTGGGAGAAACATCAACCACTTCCCAGTCCCTGTTGAGCTGCAGCTATTTATCTTTACATAATTAATTAAAAACAGAAGCCAAATCCAATCTGGAGTGTCCTTTTACCATTTTACAGAATAATGAACATGGTTTTTTTTGTACTTTTATAGCACTTACTGGCTACTGGCATATAGGTAGAAAGAACAGCTATGTAATTCATTGAAATGTTTCCACGTGCATCCCACAATGCTGGTCTCAGACTGATATGATTCTACATTGTTGCTCAATGTGCGTGGGATGTGACGGCATCTCATTGAACAGCAAACATAAGAATATCTTTTTATCTAGCGGTAAATGTAAAATCTTTTGTATTGCACAGAATCTTGGAAAGTAATCCATTCAATGTCCATCTTGCTCTGAACATATTTTGCCTAGACTGTCTGACCTTTTGTATACCCGTGTGGCATGCAATACCTGGTATTTTCTTTTTAATGCTTTGCAATCCCTGCCGCTTCACTTGGCATGGAAAGTACTGATTATTGATATGTTTGTGCCAACACAGCTTTCCACAATAGTGTACTTAAAAACCACACTGCTAAAGTTGGAATCCTATATCAATTACTAAATAGTATGTGATTCTCACTCTGAATGTTGTCATTTTTTTCCAGGATCAATTGCTGTTCAGTCCTGCATTTAACATGTGCCTTACAGCGAATGGAGCCAACCCGCACCTCATACCATGTAACCCTTCCGATCCTTTCCAACAGTGGATTTTCCGACAGAGTGAATAAATTCGAAATCAGGGGCTGTTTTCTCCTTAATGCTGTGATAAGAATACACTGTGGTATTTTATGCAATAGCAACTGACTGGAATTATGTCTGGGATGTAAAAAAAGAATGAACAGACCTGCTAAACATGAACTAAAAATGCCAAAGAATGTTTCAAATCTGTTTATTTTCCACTCTGTTTACAATATCATAATCTAAAGGGTTAGGTGTTGGGAATAAACCCGTGCCTTACATTGACAAGGAAAAGAACTGATCACAAAAGCTTTATTTTGAGGTTAAAGTATGGTTGATCAATTTACACATTACCAAATGTCCTTAAAAACAATGTTTCTCATCTGTTGAAAAGATCATCAATATATATTTTTTTTTTTTTTTATGACTTGCAAATTTTGGTTAGAAAGCAATAGTGTAAACTGTTCAAAAATTGCTCATCAGAGGAGTTATGTTTTTTAATTATTATTTTTTTTTAGCTATTAGTGTGACATAGTATCAGTGGTGTATATCTTATTTTCATTATTTTACGTTTTTTTTTCCCCCATTCTAAAATGAATGCTATTTCTACTATTTTTGCCAGAAGTGCTGTTAAGAAGCAGAAGAGTCTAAAGAAATGCTGCAGAAGCCACCCAATCCTTTGGATTCAGTAAATCTCCTCCTATATTCAGGTCTAACTAATCTCTAAATCCTGGACTGTTGATGTTAAGTACCTGCGATAGAACCTTTGAATTAGACGCACATTTTTCTAGCTATGGTAATATCCGCCAAACCATTGCTTTCGAAAAATGATTAAGCCAATTATGCTGTATGTAATGTTGACAGGGATATTGTCAAATCTGTCTGATCTGGATACTGGGTGCTTAACATTGTTTATTTGTAATTGCTTCTAAACACTACTTCTACCAAAGAATGGAAGAATTCTCGAAAAAGGAAAACCATTTTTTTTCTTTACAATAATATTCCATTCTTTTGTCTGATGTATACATTTGCTGTTATGAGCAAGTCGATAAATTAGATTTTCTTACATTTACTCTCTTGCACTTTCAGAGCAAGAAGGCCAGGCTTTAGTCAGAGGAATTTGAGTGGAAAGGAAATGTCTTCTAATAGTGGGTATCCAACTACAAACTTTTCAACTGTTTGTGGCGTACAACTCCAATAACCTGCCACCAACATAGATTATAGGAGTTGTATTAAAGCAGGGGTGGGGAACCTTCGGCCCTCCAGATGTTTTGGACTACATCTCCTTTGATGCTTTGCCAGCATTATGGCTGTAAGCACATTATGGAAGATGTTGTCAGAAACATCTGGAGGGCCAAAAGTTCCTCACTCCAACCACCATGACCACTTCAGTGATATTTGAAGTGGTCGTGGTGGATAGGAGTCTGGATGTGCAGTGTTTCTGCTTGAGTCACTGCACACCCAGAAATATTGTTAATTGTGTGCTAGTTGTAACCCCCCCCCGAACACGTGACATTGGCAGTCCAGAACTCTGTTTATATTTAACGTTTGCCAGCATGCACTGGACTCTGCCGACAGACATTAAAATATTCCTCTTGCAGGCAGAGTTGGTCCAATCACATGTTGGAGTGACTTGAGGACAGAGTGTGGAAGGCAGTGCCAGGAGCTTCACCTTGTGCTAGATTCCAGTTTTTATTGCAATCAGAGCGGGGGGACCTCCTCCTTAGTGCCCAATAGGGCATTTTACACAGAGACGTTCCCACCGCTCTTTAACACCATTAGAGAGTTAGAAGTACATTCTAGGTCCATGCTTTTAAAAAAAAAAAAAAGAGCAAAATCTGTGTTCTTTTCTCATCCTATTGATAAGGTTACAAGTTGCTCTTACCTTGTTAAGGTTACACGTTGCTCTTATATGAAACTGGTTCGCTGTTTCTCTATAATATTTAATACAGATTGTGTTTTTATGTTCTTTAAGCTAGTTTATTTAAAAAAAAACACTTTGAAATAGTTTTTTTCAAAATGCAAATATTTTTAATTATAGGGCATTGCATATTTTGCTTTACCCACTTTAACCACTTATTAGAAAAACACATTTGCCTTAACTTACTGTCTCAAACTCAATAAGTAAACTTTTTTTTTTGGTGGGGAAAGGGTGTTATTATCCCAAGGTTACCACTGTAAAAAGTCTACACTTTCTGCAAATGGACTAATAGGGAAGTAGGGTGAGGGCAAAGTGTGGGCACTGTTATAGCACAGATAGTTGGGTTTGAATTATGTCCTGAAAGGATATGGCTGGTTAATGGGTAACCTGGGCAGAAAATAGGATTAATTTCCCTATTTTGTTTGATAATCTCATTTAAAAAAAGTCAAATTTATTTTTTAAATATGTACAGTGCAGTGTATCATTGACATCTTTTTTGTAATATATGTACAATGAAAAATCGTCTCAGGCCTGTTTTATCCAAGAAGAAAGTGCTTTACCGTTAATGCACCTATACAGTTCAATTCTTTATACGGATGTCCTGCAAAATAAAAGGCATAACAAATGTATGGATGTTACATATTACAATACTACTTTCATAGAAAAAAATATTTTTGCATTTTGAAGGATTTTTAAGGCCATATTGGCCATTAATGTGTTGTCTTTTTACATATTCAGCAGTACTGGAATTTTTACAATTTGTTGTTTGGTCAGATATTTGTTTGTTAGGAGGAAAAGGTTATTTTATGACTCATGAAAAGTAATAAATGTTTATATTTTCAATTGTTTAAGTGGTCCTTGTGTAATTATGACTTGTTTTTTTTGAGTTTTGGATTTTTGTAATAGATATGCCTTGGTGTCCGTTCACAAAACTGAATCCTAATGAATCATTTTAGCTCCAATCACCACCAACCATAAGTAACTAAATCACTATTTTAAAAAAAAAATGTCTATGGTGAAATTAATATTAATACTGGAAATGCAAACCACGTATAAAACCATATCAATCATTAATTGCAAGTATGTATAAACTGGACTAAACCCAGCCCTCTGTGTATACATAGAAACATAGAATGTGATGGCAGATAAGAACCATTCGGCCCATCTAGTCTGCCCAATTTTTTTATTTATTTAATTAGTCCCTGGCCTTATCTTATAGCTAGGATAGCCTTTTGCCTATCCCACACATGCTTAAACTCACTCACTCCCCACATAAACAAGTAATTTAGGTATATACAAAACCATGCCAGCAAAAATATTTTGATACATGGTAAATGTGTTCGGGAAAATACATATGCATTTTTGTTTGCAGGATTCTTGCATATGTGAGGTTTAACTTTCAGTGTGTGAAAACCTGTGAATGAATAAGTGAGTATGAGTGATTGAATGTGTAATGTGTAATTTCTCAATTTGTATGTATTTGTGTGTAGCATGTGAATTAATACATGTATTTTATCAATACTGTATATGGATATGATATGGTATGTGTGATGTCTTCACGCATGATTGTAGCGGGAGTACATAGCTTGACGTGTAGTTTGTAATTGCATAACTGACCTTTGTGGTAGCAAAAATGCAATGTGTAAAATAATCGATGTAGTACACAAATGCAGTAATGTAGTGTGATTATCAATGTATTTCTGTATGAATGCATTACTGCAGTGTGCTAAGGCAATCCTGTAATGTTATTGTATACATATGTAAATATTGTGTTTTCTATATTTATCTATGTATTGTATTGATGAATGTGGGTAGTGTGAGAAAATGTATCTACAATGTTCCTGGGCACTGCATTATGTTTGGAAATGTGTAATTTGGTGAGTGAATGGGGTGTAAATGTTGTTTAGGAATATAATGAATTAGAAATTTTTGTTTTCTTCGGCAATGTTTGGACTGTTGAGTTTTTCTTAAATCAAACTTTAATGAACATAAACCTAAAAATGAGCCCAAAAAGAACTATAACACCCTTCAGTCTGCCTTTAACAGGAACAAACATTTGTATTTCTTGATATTTACTATGTTCTGCTTTTTGTTTCTCTTTTGTAAAATCTAATTATACTCCTTGAAAATATCTTACGTGGATTGTGACTATTTTTAACGGAACTGAATCAAAAGAACCACCCCACATTTAATGATAGTGTTGTTTCCTTTGGTCTAAAGTGAACTCATCATTTCAGAAAGTTCCAAATGTATTCTGGTTACTTTGTGGCTTCCTCCCACTTTAGCTGATTGCGACTTCCTCAAACCTATAGATACAATTGCTACCTTATGTCAAAATGATTTAAACCCTGAAAATGAATGGTGTGTAAGCTTAAATTGGAAGAAATTTATTAAAATTTTAAGTTTTATGTGTTTTTCGCAAAAAGTTTGCAAGCTATCCCTGCATACATATTCTCACATACTATATTCTCATATACTATATATATATATATTGCACTCAGAAAGTTTACACACCCCTTCACATTTGATTTATATTGTAGCCTTATGCTAAATGTTTTTTTTTTTTTTTTTTAACTTCATTCTATAATTTAATGGAAAATAAATCGCTATTTATTTAGTAGACATACTCCCAATGAAAACATGATCATGCATTTTTTTTTTTCCTTGGGGGTATATCCCAAAAGAGTAAATCGCTTGCAAAATCTGTGTCATGGTGCCTGATCAGCAGCACCATGTGACTGCCTTCCCTGGTGGTCCAATGGTGAGTGATCGGTCATCTGTGCAGTCATGCTGCTGGAGGGGGACGCTACACACTTGGCTCTCTGCGGCTCTCCCCGCCCTTGCAGCGTCTGCTGTAGCGCCCAGGTCCAGCGTCATTAAGGACACCGGCCGCTGCAGTACTGTGCTCATGTATAGCTTTTGTGGCTGTCCAGTCACAGACTTCCCAATGCAGTTCAATGCAACGTCTATGTGAGGCAGGTTCTCTGGCCAATTGCCTGCCTCTTGAGCTTAGCTTTACTGAGCTAAACAACAAGGATGAAACCGGATCCATTGTCTGATGGCCTAGGAGATGTGACAATTCTATTGAAATTTTCAGTTTTTGTAAAATTAGAAAAAAGGACAATATTCACACACTGAGCACTTAAACAAGCCAAAGTGTTTTAGGTATTTGAAGTGTTCCTTTAACCCCATAATGACAAAGTGAAAAAACAGATTTTTGACACCTTTGCAAATATAGTAAACTGATTAAAACTGAAGTATTATTGATGAAGTATTCAGACGCTTAATTAAGTACGTAATGAGGCACCTTTTGGCAGTGATTACACACAAATGTGTATGAGGCATCAAGATTTAAGTGGATTTAGGTCAGGGCTCTGCCTAGGCCACTTAAGAACATTCACACAGAGTTAGTCACAAAAGTCCGATTGGTCCAGTCCCGTACAGGGCAAATCCATCCTGTACAGGGCCATTCAGACTGCAAATTCCAGACATTATTCACACTATTTAACAAACCAAATGAGTTTGAATTTTGTCCAGAATGAGCCTAAATTTGGTTTATATTTCAGATAGTGGGTAGGGGCTATTAAATTAGAAAAAGCAAGTGGAGGGAACATCCTAATATAACCCACTGCTCACACCCATGGTCAGCAGGTGCAGGCAACTAATGTAATATTTGTAATCCAAAGTATTTATCCACAACACAGCTTAGTTATAGGAGCCCACTATTGCAGCCTAAATGTATTCAAAGAGCATCCAAAGTACAGACGTTTTGAGATCCCTGTCCCTTTATCAGTGATAAATGCCCTCAACCTATGCAACACAGTCACCAAAATATATGACAAGTGAAACTACCCTCCACCAACATGACACTGCTTGTTGGCACCATTACTCCCTGCCAAGATCTCGTAAGATCTAGCGATGTCATACGGGAATTCGATCAGCATGACTCACAGTGCCTAGCAACAGTCACTAGGCAACAAAGCAAGCTGCTAATATCAATTATATGTAGTAGTTAGCTTGTATATAAGATTAGAACAACTACATATTAAATAGTCTACAACTCCATATCAAAGCATATAATCCCAATCAGGGCCGGACTGGGGATGCAAAGCAGCCCTGGAAAAAAAATCTTTGCCAGCCCCATAAGTCATTGCGCCATATATTGTCGCATGTAATATGTAAGGCTATGTCTTTTCACCCCAGATGATTGCGTAATATATCTCAAATATATATTGCTCTTTCTAATATAAAATATTGGTCCTTTCAGAGTAAAACATTTAATTATACTGTGAGCATCCTCACATGTAGACACAGACAATCTCACTGACACACACCAGCTCATTGATACACAGCCTCATAGACAAACAATCTCACTGATATACATAAGCTCATTGACATAAAAACACAAGCTCACTCACTAGCAGACACACACACACACACATGCAAGAAAGCTCACACACAGCTTAATGTAGTGGTACTGGTGTCTATGGCCTGTCCCTGCAGGCTTTTCAATGTAAACACTGACTTTTCAGAGAAAAGGCAGTGTTTTACATTGCTTCCTAGTGACTCCTCTTGTGAGAGACCCTCAGACGGTCACTAGAGGTGCTTCCTGTGTCAGTGTTTTCATTTTAGAATTTAGCACCCATCTGCCATTACCTATTAATGAGTCTCTTCCCGAGCTTTTCCATGCCACAATTATTTCTTGTTATAACTACTTCAATCTGCTCATTGCTGGTGTTGCACATTTACAGTATACCACCATTACAGTTCATGATGAATGCTCTAACCAGAGTCATCTTCCTCTCACACCTCCTTTCTTTGAAAGTCCATAAATTGACTTCCCATAAAATTTAAGTTTTAGCTCACGTCTGATCCTTAAACATCACTTAACAACTCTGTCCCTTTCAAATAAGTATGTGTTAATACAGGCCATATGGACATGAAATTGTCTGGCTACTGGTTGATCTCAGCCATAGAGGCTGGGCAAGTCGAGGGGAAACCAGCACAACGTTGGAAAAATAAAAGGTGAGTAAAAACACTATTTTTAAAGACACATACAGACACACACATACACACACCTATACCATGACACACACCATGACATACACACATACCATGACAGATGCACACACACTCCTTGACAGACACACATATACTATATCAGACACACACATACCATGACAGACATACACACATCTTGACAGACATACACACATCTTGACACACAGACAGATCATGACACGGAGAGAACATGACACAGACATACACACACCATGACAGACAGACACCACACTCACACACACACATACCATGATACACACAGACAGACACACACACCATGACACAGACAGACCGTGACATACACACACATTACATGACACAGACACACACACCATGACACAGACACAAGCACACAGACCATGACACACACACCATGACAGACAGACCATGACAGACACACACACACACACACACACACACCATGACAGACACACTATCACACACAGACACACATCATGATACAGACAGACCATGACACACACACACACATTACATGACACACATTACATGACACAGACAGACACACTTTACATGACAGACGCGCACACACACACACCATGAGACAGACACACACATAGGCGTGTGCCGGGTATGCCTGGGCACACCCTAATCCCTGCGGCACGCCTATGGAGTAAGACTGGCAGGGGAGATCTCAGGATCTCCCCTGTTGGCTCATGCAGAGCCGGCGCTATCCGAGCGCCGGCTCTGCTCTCAGCCTCCCTCCCCACCGACCCACATGCAGGGAGGGAGGCAGGAGAGGACGCGGGGAGCTATTGCCAGCAGCTCTGCCGGGTTCCTCTCGCGAAATCTGAGCGTTGCCAAGGCAACGCACAGATCTCGCGAGAGTGAACTCTAGCCCCGCAGGCTAGAGTTGACTCACCACTGGACAACCAGGGAAGGCAGCAAGGAAGGATCCCCACTCCCTACATAAGGTGAGAAGGGAGGGATATTTAGGTAATCTACCCCCACCTCCACTGGACCACCAGGGAAGGCAGCAAAGAACAAGAATCCCCCTACATAAAGTAAGAAGGGAGGGGGGATATTAAGTAATGTACCCCCACCTCCACCCCCCACAATCACCCACACACATAGAGCACCCACAGACATACACAGCACCTACACACATACAGCACCCACAGACATACACAGCACCTACACTCATGCAGCACCTATACACATACAGCACCCACAGACATACACAGCACCTACACACATACAGCACACACAGACATAAACAGCACCCACACACATACAGCACCCACAGACATACACAGCACCTACACACATAAAGCACCCACAGACATACACAGCACCTACACACATACAGCACCCACAGACATACAGCACCCACAGACATACACAGCACCTACACACATAAAGCACCCACAGACATACACAGCACCTACACTCATGCAGCACCTATACACATACAGCACCCACAGACATACACAGCACCTACACACATACAGCACACACAGACAAACAGCACCTACACACATACAGCACCCACAGACATACACAGCACCTACACACATAAAGCACCCACAGACATACACAGCACCTACACACATACAGCACACACACAGCACCTTCAAACACACAGCACACAAACAGCACCCTCACACACAGCACACAAACAGCACCCTCACACACACACACACACACAGCACACTAACAGTACCCTCACAAACACAAACAGGACCATCACACACAGTACATTAACCGCACCCTCACAAGCGCGCACACACAAACACCCTCACCCACATAGTACACTACCAGCACCCTCACACACACACACACACACACACACACCATGACACACACACACACATACACCATGACAGACACACACCATGACACATCAGAGCCAGCTCCCCCTGCGGCCGCCATCATAGCCAGCTCCCCCTGTGGCCGCCATCAGAGCTCCCCCTGCGGCCGCAGGTCACCCAGATGTCTCCCTGGCCCCCGTTGCCTGACGGCCCACCGGTGAAATTTCTTGGTATCCCGATGGGCCAGTCCGGCCCTGATCCCAATGCACATAAACCATACTAGATAAACAGTAGCTATATATTAACCCCTTAAGGACCAAACTTCTGGAATAAAAGGGAATCATTAAGGGGTTTTAACCTTTAATGCAGCTGATACAAACAACTCAGAGCTTCTAATACAAATAAGTATAACTGAGCACATAAGGTAAATATTAATAATATAACAGAAAGCAAAATACCGCTAGACTGGACAAATTGAACAAATGATCGCTTAAATCCAACCCTGAGGAGAAAATAAAATCAGTCAG